TTTTGAAAAATGAGATGATTATGGCCCAAACACAATACCCTGAAATTAAAAAAAAAAAAAATCAGGAAACATCTGATGAGAGACTGAGGTGGTTGTATAAAGAGCTCTCTGATAAGTTGAGATAAAAAAAGGATTAGTTTAAAAAATGGAAAGAGGACCATATAATAAAAGCAGAATATCAGGAAATAGTCTGAATCTGTAAGGATGGGATCAGGAAGACTAAAGCTCAGAATGAGTTAAGGCTTGCAAGAATACTAAAAAATAACACAAAAGGGTTCTTGGGTATCTGAGGAACAAGAAGTTAAGGAAATAGAAAATCTTCTGGTTGGAGAAGATGCCAAATGGGGTGCACAACAAACTGCTAAACTGGTTGATTCCTACTTTACTTCTGCCTTTTCACAAAAGGAATGAGTAATCCAATGTATCAGAAGGTGTACCATGGGGGGCAGAAGAAAAATGCAGGTCAAAATAGGCAATGGGATGGTCAGAGAATACCTAGCTGCTCTGAATGAATTCACATCTCCTGAACTGGATAAATTACATCTCAGGGTGCTAAAGGAACTGTAAGATGTGATGTAAGAATCACTGACTGTAAACTCTGAAAACTCCTGGAGTATAAGGGAAGTATCAGAAAATTGAAAAAGAGCTATTGTTCTAATCTTTTTTAAAAAAAGGGAAAAAGTTCAGTCCAGGAAACTATGGACCAATTAATTTGTCATCAATACCTGGGAAAATCCTAGAAAGGATCATCAAGCAATGGGTTTGCACTCAGAAAGAAAGAAGGTGATTACTAGAAGCCAGCATGGGTGGTGCCAGAAAAATCTTACTGCTTTTTTTTTTTTTAGGACAAAGTAACTTAGTCTAGGATGTAATGTACCTAGACTGGTTTTGATAAAATTGACTATAGTCTCCTTTTGGATAAAGTAGAACAATGAGGGATGGATGGTCCCAGTACCAGTTAGATTTACAGTTGGTTGAACAACTGTACCCAACACATGGTCCTTAATGGATCTAAGTCTACAAGGAGAGAGTTACCCTACAAGCAGGGTGCCTCAGGGTTCTGTTCTAAGCTCATCAACATTTTTTATAAATGACTTAAACAAGAAGTCATAAAAAGAATAAAGGATAAAAGAAGGATAAAAAGAATGTGCATCAGATTTGCAGATAATGCCAAGCTCAGAGGGATTGCCCACATCTCAAAAAACAGGCTCAGAAAACAATGCTGGTGAGAAATTTAGGGTTCTACACTGAAGTATGAAATATCAGATGTTCAGGTACAAGATAGGTGGTACTTGACTCAGCAATAGTAGTTTTGAGAAAGATATGGGTGTCTTGGCACACCACAGATTAAGCATGAGCCAGCAGTGTGTGCCACAGTAAGCTAATGAAATCTTGGGCTGCATCAGCAGAGATAGGATGTCAAAATCACAAGTGACAGTTCTGCTCTATGCAGGACTGGTCAGACTGAGCCTGCAATATTGTGTCTGGGTTTGGTTGCCACAATACAAAAAAAAATGGGTTGGACTAGAAGACCTCCAACGTCCCGTTCAGCCCTGCAATTCTATTATTTCAGTGGTTCTCTTTACCTGTAAATGTGATGTTTGAAATGAATTAATTTGAAAAACATTTTGAATATGTCAGTTGTGAACAATATTTTCTGATAAACTAAAGAGGATATGAACTTCTATTTTATTCTGAGAAATGTATTTTGATTATTTGATATGCACACCTTTGTTATCTGCACTAATCCTGCAAGTTTGGAGATAGCTTATGAAGAAGGGGGGAAACAGCCAAAAGGCCTTTGCATGATGATAATTCCTAATTCCCAAATGGTTAGATAAGAAGAATGCTTCAGAGTATGTTAGGTTATTAAGTTAGTTATTTCAAGCTTAAGTGTTTTGCTTTATTGGCAAGGAGAATGGGAAAATAAGCTGCTGTACAAGTTTCATTATTTCTCTTTTCAATTATATTAAATACATTTGCAATTAATGCATGATGTTAATTCAGTATTAGCATCAAACTTCTGATTTTAATATGACATTTACATTTGATGGCACCAAAGAGCAAGCTAATGATTACAAAGCAGAACCATTAACAAAACCACAATGTAGTAATCAACACTCACCATGCTGCAGTTACTGTTTGCAGAAATGCACTTCTTATCATCACACCACTGACAGCCATTTGTATTAGCAGTGCAACTGGCACAGTCTGCATATTTATAACATCTGTCATCTGCTGCGGCTATCAGACAAATGAAAAGCATAGCAAAACATCAACATGAGAGACTGAGAATGTCATGCTTTTTAATTTGCACATTTTCAACTGTTGCTATAAACAGTATTTTTGTACTATTAATTGTAAATGCAACTTTTAGTCTAAGATTAACATTCTTTAATAAGAAGCAAATAATACAGGTTATCTTTCATTTAAACTCAGTCATGAATATATTCTACTGGATGCCTTTCTAGTTTTAGGCCAACCAAACAATCATTCCTGGAACAAAATTTAAAAAATTCTAATTTCTGTACAGTGTGAACAAAAATGTATAATGTTTTCATTGCTTCATTCATTAATTTAACAAAATGTCACAACAAATTTTAGCAACTATCTACAAAATACATTTTTAAATCTGAAAAAATAAGATCTGGTCTTTTCTGTGATCAAATTATACTTTCTTTAATATTGGACTGTTTGTATGTTCTTATTTATTGGATATGTATTCAATTCAAAGCACATACAAAGTAAAGAAGGAGCCTGGCATCATCTTACTGTGTCTCTTTATCTTAGTATATTATTATATCTTCACAATAAATAATACAAAATGATTTTTAAATCATTATTTCTCCTTTAATGGTAATAATAGGTGCAACTAAAGGATTCTGAACCCAATCAAATACTTTTTTTTGGAAGGAAAAACATTCGCTAATTGTGTCATAGAAATCAGACAGGCATTATATCATCAAGATTTAACACTTTCACTAAAGAAATCTGTCAATAAAAAATTGCTGAAATTTGGAAAGCAGGCAAGATTTTTGAACTGCATCCATTATATTCTGAAGTGTGAATCTAGTTATTTTTGTACCTCGCAGTGACACATGAATGCCATTCAGATAACTATATCAGCTATGGATGCCACCTTCTGTATTCAAAATTGTCACTTAATTTCTGTGCCAGTTCAGAATAATGTTCCAATAAAAATGCATTTTTTCTTACAATCCATAGAACCATGCCAACATTTTTTCATGAGATAGCCATCTCATTTCCCTTTGCATCAGTTATGCAGGCTCCCGATTTCTTCACACAGAACAGTAAATATCCTGAGGATGAATGGTTTTGCTTTTATAAAACTCACAGTTTTAACTTTTGAATACAACCTTGAGTTCTTGTGGCATGTGTTTCCTGTGGCAGGTGCATGACAATGAAGACAGCAGTGGTTATGCTTAATATGTGGATCTGTTCTTTTATGTGGGCCACAGCACCTGACCTTATTCCAACTACAGCTGCCACTCCATCAGTGTATATATATACTGCAACACAAATACCAAGGGGTTTCATATTCCCTCATAATCAAAGTAAATATTTCTGCTTCCCTGGTTCTGGGAGGAAGAGGATTGTAAATAAGCATATCTTCCTCAACAGATAATTCTACACAAGCACAAACACATGCTTGATTTCTAAACTTGAAACATCAGTGGATTCATCCATTTGAAGGGGAATCTACTGTGCTCTGTTCTACTCATTTTATTAACTTCTCACAAAAAGTTGACATAACCTTGACACATCTTTAAATTATTAGAGAGTGGTATACTAGCCCAGTACCAGACTTAGACAACATACAACAGTACAGATCACTTAGAACTTATTGGTAAAACTGTGGACAACCTTTCCAAGACATTTCATGCAGACAAGATGGAATCGTATAGACAGTCACATAAGACAGTGACCTATGTGTTGAAAATCAATACTTCACTACCATCTTTTTTGATAGGAGGACTAACAAAGAGCACATCCAGACAAAGTACTAGAAAATGAAGAAGCTAAAGTGCTCTCAGACTTTAGAATTCAAGCAGACAAGTACCTGCCATATAACATCCCAGACTTAACAACCGTTGATAAGAAAGACAAAAAAGTCTGGGTAGTGGACACTGCAATACCTGGAGGCAGCAGAATAGCAGAGAAAGAACTGGAGAAAATCACAAAATATAGACCTGCAAATAAAAATATAAATAGAACGACTGTGGCAAACAAAAGCAAAGACAGTACCAATGGTAATAGCCACCTTGGATACAAATCCAAAACATCTGGAGCACCACTTGAAGACCATCAGCATTG